TAACTGGTTTGATCTCTTCTAAAATCGATCTGTTAGTTATATGGGATGTCCACAGCATGCATTAGAATCCTTCTCCAGCTTCAAAGCTCAAATAAGTTGATCTTCTTTCTATCCCAGTGTTCAGCTTTCACAACCGTAATTGACAACTGAGAAAATAAGTGCATGGACAAGTCTGATCTTTGTTTTGAGTGTTATTTCTTTGCATTTGAATACTTTTTCTATAGTCTTCATTGTGTAGCTACCAATATATACTGTATAGACATAATAAAATTAGAATATAATCTGATATAATTAGACAGGTAAAAAAGAGGGTATTCCTCTGATAGGCCAACGTTAAAGCTGTTCAATGAACCTCTTGAAAAGCTAAAGATGAATGGTTGTCCAACAAGACAGTTCATGTTTAGGACAGTGTCAAGTTCAAATGTCCTTCAATGTCTATGGTTGCAAAAAAGGTGAACTTTTACATTTCTCAAGCATGTAAATATTGTGGTTCCATAACAATTTGCTCCAACCGTTATTTTAAACACTATTTTTTTCCTCAAAGCAGGCATGTTAGCCAGACTAAACAGTACTGTCAATGATATGCAGATTTAAAATTTTAGGGTAGAAGGTTTATTTAGAAGCTAAAAGCTCATCACCATCTATAACCAAAACCCTGATGGCAGATGTTGGCCTACTACCATGGATACATATTTTACTGTCAAATTAAGGGCAGAGGTGCTCTGGCTGCGACTAACAATCTGATTTGACCTTCTTTATGCTGGTAGGAGAGGCAAGGATGGTGGTTCCCAATGGAGGAAAAATTGGGTTGAGTTTTTTTCACTGAATATGCATTGATGAGCTTGATTATAAGTTGAATAGTTAATGTTTGACAGTGGTTCTGTAAACAGTGGAAAAAGAAAGGTTGCTAAAATATATATTCTTCAAAAGAAAAATTTGAATGACATCTATGCCTTAAAATTCAGTTTTTTAATAAGGTATATACAGTATGTATTTTTTAAAGTGTATATAAAGCCTCATTTTTTTCATGATAGACTAGGGAATGGCAGTATTTTTTTCTGTGTGTGTCCCTTAAGGGACATCGTGTTTTCAGTAGTATTTTTTTTTTTCTGTGTGTGTCCCTTCGGGGACATCGTATATCCAGAGAAACAGCAGTAAGTAAGAGGGAATATCTCCAAAGTGAGGGCATACTTCCTCTTAGACAGTTTGAATCAGAACAAGTTTACCCATTTCTCCTCACCTCCTTTTTGTGTGACAACTCAAAAGTTTGAATTTTCTATTACTTCCTATCCCAGTGACAATGGTCACCAAAAGCAATAGTGAGGATGATTTTCTAGCTGAGATACGGATAGAAGTATGAAAAATATGAAAAATAAAATAGGGGAAATCTTCCAGTGGAGACATCTGTTTTGGTGACATCTGTAAAAAAAAAGATTTTCTCTCACTTTGTATAGACCTTTTGGAACAAGTAGCAAATAGCAAATATATACTGCACATTCATATATACAGCTTTTGTAATGTATGTAAATGTATGTAAAGTGATTTATTTTTATTTATTTATTATTTGCTGTCTGGTGTCTATATACATCACTGGTCAATCATAGCATTATGACTACTGACAGGTAAAGTAAATAACATTGATGATCTCATTAAAAAGGCACCTAAAAGTGGGTGGGATATATTAGACAGCAAGTGAACATGTCCATAAAGTTGATGTGCTGAAAACTGAACAAATGGGCAAATGTAAGGATTTAAGTGACTTTGACAAAGGCCCAATTGGACCAATAGAGTCAAAAGCTCTTGTAGGATATTTTTGGTCTGCAGTGGTCAAGACCTGCCAAAAAGTGGTACAAGGAAGCAAAACTGACAAGCCAATGCTAAGGTCTTGGGTGGCCAAGGATCACTGAAGTATGGGCAGTGAAGGCTGACCTATTTAGTCCACTCCAATAGAAGAGCTACTGTAGCTCAAATTGCGATTAATGCTGGTTCCAACAGAAAGGTGTCAGAACCCACAGTTTGTTGTGCATGGGGCTGCGTAGCCACAGACTGATCAGCGTACCCATGTTGACCCATGTTGACCCATGTCCACAGCCAAAGTACCTACAATGGGCATGTGAGCATCAGAACTGAACCAATGAGCAATGAAAGAAGGTAGCCTAGTCTGATGAATCATCAGGATATGACGCTGAGCACGTGCACTCAACTGCTTTGTTTGACCATGGCGAGGCCTGTTCTGAGTGGAACCTGTCCTATTAAACCGCTGTATGGTCTTGGCCACCGTGCTGCAGCTCAGTTTCAGGTTCTTGGCAATCTTCTTATAGCCTAGGCCGTCTTTATGCAGAGCAACAATTCTTTTTTTCAGATCCTCAGAGAGTTCTTTGCCATGAGGTGCCATGTTGAACTTCCAGTGACAGTATGAGAGAGTGAGAGCGATAACACCAAATTTAACACACCTGCTCCCCATTCACACCTGAGACCTTGTAACACTAACGAGTCACATGACACCAGGGAGGGAAAATGGCTAATTGGGCCCAATTTGGACATTTTCACTTAGGGGTGTACTCACTTTTGTTGCCAGCGGTTTAGACATTAATGGCTGTGTGTTGAGTTATTTTCAGGGGACAGCAAATTTACACTGTTATACAAGCTGTACACTCACTACTTTACATTGTAGCAAAGTATCATTTATTCAGTGTTGTCACATGAAAAGATAGACTAAAATATTTACAAACATTTGAGGGGTGTACTCACTTCTGTGAGATACTGTATTTTTAAAAGAAAAATGTATATATATATATATATATATATATATATATCATATATTTATATAGATTTTTTAACACACATGTACTGTGTATTTTTAAAACGTATATTTTTAATATATATATAATTTTTTTTAATTAACATTTTTGCAAGGAACAACCTCCAAGAATACCTCACCAAAATCACTTTTTCTCCGTCTTGTTTGAAAATTAAGGCTAGTGACAGCGTCACCTAATTTCACCTAAACATATAAGAAGACTTCTATAACTTTGATTAATAATTGATTAAACAAACCCAGCACACATCAAAGACAGGAAGGAGAGCCGTTTTCTCAGTAAAAAAAACGACTATCAAATGACTCTTTGTTGTCTTAAACGTTTGTCAGATCTCTGCCATTGCATAGCAAGTTACACATTCATGTTTGAAATTTTATGTAACCAGAATTGTTCATAAAAAAAGGCAAGAAAGCCGCTCATCTTAATTAATTAAACACAGATAAGCTTAAACACTTCAAATTAGAGTTAATCATACAGCTGAAACGTTTCCTCTCGGTTTCATTGGCTTTATGACTAATTTATGTTTAACCTTCTTGAGAATCTATGATCAGAATACTCTTTTTCCAAAAATTCAATGCAACTGCCATTGGTGTCCTATTGCAGGGCAAAAGGGGCTTTCGAACTTTAAAACTGCCTTGAAATAAAAAGGAGATATATGATGTTCTTAAAGACTTTTCAACTTAACCAGGAGAAGGTTAGAATATGAATAACAATCACAGACATCTTAAAGGAAAATAGCTTCTTCTCTATAATTTCAGGGGATTTTAAGGTAGTATCTTACAATCAACCTATAAATATAAAGATGCACGCCACTTCAACATTGAAATTTTACATTTAAAGAGATACGGTGTCATTACCTATTCAAGGCAAAGTGACAGAGTCTTCTTAAAACCAACTTCCCCATTTATTGATGCTTACCTTACCGTGCTTACCTATCAATAAGTTTCTCCATTGAATCCACCACGATATACCTGGTGCTACAAAATGTGAGCAAGCGTGTGACCCTCCCATAATGCAGTTCCCTGTCATGAAAGGGAGTGACATGTTGCTTACACAAGATTAGGACTGCAAAAAAGGGAAAGAAAGTGTAGGCATGGGCAGACTGCGGGTAATTCCCCCAACTGGAAGGTAGCACTGAGCCGTCTCTTCAAGTTAGCAGGACTCCAACGGGCAGGAAATGTCTCATATCTTGTGCTCCAGGAGGACATCTTTGGGATGATGGTGATCCTATTGGATACCAAAGTCTTGAGAGATTTGGAAGGCCATATTGACAAAGGACTGTATAAATATAGGGGTAACATCATTCGAGGTGCCTGCTGTGAGGCAGTATGGTAGGAAAAGAACTGCACTGGGTAGGGAAAGTGCAGGTGCAGAAGCAAGGAGAGGTTCCCTATGAGCAGGGATGACTAGGTTTCTTTTTCAGGGTGTATCCATTGCATAGGTCCACTGCCTTTAGTCGTCGAACATCTCATTGTCATCTAACTTTACAACCATCTCTCCATTGGAGCAATCCTCTGGTACTGTAGAAATGGTAACTGGAATTTGTAATGCTGCTGAGTTAAGTCTACCTCCCTACCAATGTTCTGCAGACAAGAAAACTGTATAATTCACTACTTATGTGGTGCCAATGATATATTGGACCATTGGACCTTGATAATTGTCTCTTGAGTTTTGTAAGAAAAACCAGTGCCAAGTCAGCCTATCTCAAAAACTTGAATACACCAGTTAAGCCCCTCCTACAAAGTGTGAAGAAGGTGAGTATAAGTGGATCAGGAAGGTGGGCTTTAAAGCTGAACTCCAGGCACAAAAACCTTCATTGAAATATATTTCTAACTAGCCACAAAGGATATAAATCAACTTTGTGTGAACCAAATAACTTTACAACCCCAAAAAATATCTTTTAAAAGTAGCAGTGACATCATCACTGTGCTGTACATAGCTAATATAGGGAGTAGAGCTGTAGGAGGGGCCCAGCGGGCTCCACCAACTACAGCCTGCCTGCAGAAAACTACAGTGGGGGGGAAACAAGACTAGTCACCGTGCACAAAGAGAAAGAACAGCAGTGACTGGTCTTTATTACAGGAAGGCTTCAATCTGGATTGCTGCACAGATCTGGAATACATACACAAAGCTTACCAAGATTCAAGGAAGAATGCACATATCTCAATGCATTTGGATAATATTCGTTTAGCCTGGACCAAGGGCGGACTGACCATTTGGAAACTCGGGCACTGCCCGAGGGCCCGGGGTCAGTAGGGGGCCCCATGAGATGCCTCTGGTACCTTTTTCATAGGCTTTTTTGAGTTTGGGCAAGCACACAGGGGCCCCATGATCCCATATTGCCTGGGGGCCCCATGACTTGTCAGTCCGCCCCTGGCCTAGAGTTCAGCTTTAAAGACACAATAGACTCAAATAACCCAAAAGAGATAAGAATCATTATTTTCAAACAAATGATGTTTTTAAGCCACGTTCACTTGTGGTCACATGACTGAGAATAAACCATGGTATCCTTTTGTAAAGCTTTGTGAATTGACCTCTATGTCACTGAACCTGAATGAGCATCTAAGCTCCAGGCAGATATAAAAGACACAAAGGAATGTAGGTCCATAATTGTTAGTACAACGTTAAATGTGTTTCATATATGCAAGTAGCATAAGTACCTGAATGTGATTTGGTATAAGTCCCTTGCAGTCCCTGTACAACAGAGCTGTCGTATTAGAGGAATGTGTAGAACGAACAGCCAATCAATTCATCTGCTGACAAGAAGCATGCTGCTAGGAGGAGAGAGCAGACTGACTAAGAGATAAGCTCATCATTGTGCTGCTTCACCTTTCAATGTCTAGTAACAGGCTGGGGTGGGTCTACGATGATCTGGGCTCAGAAGAAGTGGTTTGAATGATGCTGCATTTTCAGACAGGTTAGGTCTCCTTCTTTTCTGTTGTCTAGGCATTAGTGTGCACTTGGGACAAGACACTACATTGCAACTGGTTATGTGAAAAGTTCTCACTCCTTTTTTATTGCGCTTTCATCACACCTGTTACTTGACCAGATTTTTTGGAGGTTTGTGTGATCATTTATGGGTGCGAGATTTTGCTAAGGACATATAGCAGCAGAAAAAATTACTGCAGGGAAAATCTCTGGATTGAAGCTGAATATTGCTGCAAAATCAGTTTTGTTATTATATCTTTTAATGGGCTATTGGTTTTCCCTTGTTTTTTTGGCTGGAGGTCTGCTTTAAAGTACACTAGTTATAAGAGAAATATAGGGACTGCCATTGCTGAAAATGCTATCTAGATGGCTGCTGCTGGTTTCAGTTTAGAGTCACTTACCTAAAGCAACTTTGCAAAAATGTAACCCCATCCTGCTGAGTGCACGCATATATGGTTGTGCTCAAAAGTTTGCATACCCTGGCAAAAATTGTTAATTGATTTTGATATTGAAAATTTGACTAATCATGCCAAAAACTGTCTAATATTTAAGGATAGTGATCATATGAAGCCATTTACTATCACATAGTTGTTTGGCTCCTTATTATATCATAATGATAACCAAAATCACCAAAATAGCTCTGATCAAAAGTTTACATACCCTGGAATGTTTGGCCTTGGTACAGACACACAAGGTGGCACACACAGGTTAAAATTGCAATTAAAGGTTCATTTCCCACATCTGTGGCTTTTAAAATTGCAATTAGAGTCTGTGTATAAATAATCAGTGAGGTTATTAGCTTTTACATGGATGCACTGAGCAGGCTTGATACTGAGCCATGGGGAGCAGAAAAGAACTGTCAAAAGACCTGTGTAACAAGGTAATTGAACTTTATAAAGATGGAAAAGGTTATTAAAGGATATCTAAAGCGTTGAATATACCAGTCAGTACTGTTTAATCATTTAATAAGAAGTGGAACATTCAGGGATCTCTTGATACCAAGCCAAGGTCAGGTAGAGCAAAAAGGATTGTAGCCACAACTGCCAGAAGAATTGTTCAGGATACAAAGAAAAACTGACAGGTAACCTCAAAAGAAACACAGATTGCTGTGGAAAAAGATGGTGTGCTTATTTCAAGGAGCACAATATGATGGTACTTGAACAAAAATAAGCTGCATGGTCAAGTTGCCAGAAAGCAGCCTTTACTGTGCCAATGCCACAAAAAAGCCAACAATATGTTCAACAACACCTTGACGTGTGTCACACCTTCTGGCACACTGTAATATGGAGTGGCAAGACCAAAATAGAGCTTTATGGTCACAACCATAAACTCTATGTTTGAAGAGAGGTTAACAAGGCCTATAGAGACAAGAATACCATCCCCACTGGGAAGCATGCTGGTGGCTCAGTCATGTTTTAGGGATATGTGAGATATAAAAGAACGGGGAATCTTGTTAAAATTGATGGCAAGATTATTGCAGCATGTTATAAAATACTGGCAGTAATTTGCATTCTTCTGCATGAAAGCTATGCATGGGGCGTTCTTGGACTTTCCAGCATGGCAAAAGCACAAAGCGAAGTTGACCCACCAGTGGTTATGGTAAAAAAGATGAAGGTTCTGGAGTTGTCATCACAGTCTCCTGACCTAATATCATCAAACCACTCTGGAGAGATCGCAAACAGGCAGTTTATGCAAGATGACCAAATAATTTTCATAACTTGGACGCATTTTGCCAAGATGAATTCTTACCTCCTGCAAGAATTCTGGGGCCTCTTAGACAACTATTACAAAAGGCTACACGCTGTCATTGAAGCTACAAGATACACAGTGTTAAGAACTAAGGGGATGCAGACTTTTGAACGGGGGGGGGGGGCATTTCATTTGTTTACTTGTTGCCATGTTTTGTTTTATGGCCTGTGACTTAGGGGTCAACATCTTTGGGTGTTTGTTACACAAGGGTGAATGTGGAGGACACAATAAGTTGGTGACCATCTGAGAAGAGGAACTGATTATTATCATATGTTTGTTAACGTTAAGGCCCGTATTGCTGAGCACTATATAACCTGGACTGTTTTTTTGTAACAAGTTGTTTATATTTATTAACTATACTAACATTTCAGTATTTTTAAAAATAATTTATATCTTAACATTGAATTCACATGGTGAGCGCTGCACTGTTAATTGCTTTTTTTAACATATGTGGTATTGCTATTATCATTAGGAGGAGAATTTATTTTGGGTTGGTCTATGGTAGTAGCAAGAAATAAACAGCTAAATTATTATTATTTTACTATTTTGGGCTAGTCTTCCTTTGATAATATAAAAAAAATACGGAATATCCATTACCATTTACCACCAAATGAGAGTCCACTTTGTCCTGATAAAAACAAGGTATAATTCATCTGGATATGCTAAGTAGTTTTGATGATATGTGCAGTTTTACAGTGCATGCCAAAGTTGCAAAATTGAGTTCCAGCATTAAGATTTATTTTAAACTCCATTATGAAGGGGCTAAAGAAGAATTGTGGCCTTGCTTTGGAGATTCATATATTTACACATTAATAAGCAGTAAATGAGCTATAAAATAAGCTCTCAATGACCTCTGTAGTTACATCCACTGTAGAGAAATTCATCTTCACTGTTCACAGTTGAAGCAATGAAGTCATTAAAATGAACACTCAGCACTTTGCTCTCTCCTATCTTCCTGCACACCTGCTCTGTGTTCACATGGCTGAGAACAGTAACAGTAAAAATGAAAAGCTTCAGCTGTAAATTTAAGAGAGGAATTACTCCACAGTAGCTGCAGCTACATAGATAGATAATAAAGCAATAATAACAATGCCCAGTGCAACCAATTTAGATCTTGGAAATCTATTTAAAGCCAAAACAAAAATGTTTTTATGGCAAAGCCTGCCAGGCTTTGTTTTTGATATCTGTGTCCCATTTGGGTGATTTCCTTTCACATTCTACCCCAGAGACATGCAGGAAGCAAGAGATCTCTCCAAAGAGGAGACATTTCCTTTTAGAAAACTGTCACCAAGATAGGTTTACCCACTGGAAGCGCTTGACTTTTTGGATCACTTTCTGTATTAGAGATAGTGGACACCAAGACTAACAGTGAGGCTGAATCTCCACAGCAGGGAACCAGCGAGCAATAAAAACCTGACAGAGTTCTAACCATTCCTTCTATCCAAATCTAAAAAACAAGTTTAAATGCACTTTCTTTAAAGTGGTTGTAAACCTTTAAATGTACTCAGCGAACTGAATAGCTTCAAGTGATACACAAAGATGAAACAAATGCTTGCACATAAGTTGTACCTATTTAGCTGCACCCTATATCCCTATCAGTTCAAAGTTTAGATTTTACACAGCATTTCTGAATCTCCAGCAGGCAGGGGAGGGGGTCTGATGTCACACACTACACAGCACAGAGCAGAGGCCTTGGTTTAATTTGAGACCTGAATGGAGGGAATGAACACCCCTCCCCTACACAGTCTCATAGGGAGACATGCACAGCTGAGGCATTCAATCACCTGCTGATGGTGGTGGTGGTGGGAAGGGGGGGAGCATCTCCTGGGATTGTCTGAAGTCTGCATAGACTATCAAAAGTGACTCATGCAGATAGCAGAGGAATGAGACAGGAAACAGGGATCACACTAGGTGCTTTGACTACAGGCAAGTAAACAATATAGAAGGATATGCTTTGTTCATTTTTCATTTCAGAGGTTTACAACCCCTCCAAAGTGAATTGTGATTTGTTTGCTAGAGCTATTGCACTTCTCCGGTTTAATAAATAAACCCCTTTATGTAAAAAAAATTTAAAAAATACATTTGATGGTCTCCTTTGACTGGCAAATACATGAGCCGAGATTTAAATGTTGCCAAGTTATAGGAAGGGTGCAGTGCTTTCCACCATGCTCTGAGATATAGCTTGGCGATGTATAAATGAATTCAGTCATTAAATTATGGAAATAAGAACTTGCAATAAAACAGTTAATTTATTGCTGTCAGTTTTAAGCTGAAAGAGAACAAAAAGTGAGTCATTTTATATCTGACATGTAAGCGTGGAATTCATTTTACGGAGAAGGATACATTAGCTACATTGACGATCAAAACCCTAGCCTTAGGGTAATAGACAACATTGTCAAATGCATTAATTCTCCAGAATCTCACAGATATGCCCCCTAGATATTGCAACCACAATGACGCACCATAGGAGCCACAACTCTATCCAAACTGGACGTGCAGTTTGTACATCACAATTTGCAAAGTTGTACCCCCTTATAGTAAGGGGGGAGGAGAGAAAACTTGGAAATATGGCTCAACTTTCAATGTGACAGCTTGTGGCTTAAACTATTAACGTTCTACTTCATCTTTAATGCAATTATCCTCCTGAATATTTTACATATAGATTTTTAAAGCTGATTCCTGACAGCGGACAGTTAATTCGAAGACCATATTGAACAAATTTGCAGCATTAATGTTTAAAGAATATTATTTCTGTACTTTAACACTAAATTATGATTATAGTTAATGAGCAGAAGAACCATTTTCTGAACTTGTGACCCACACGCCAAAGACTGTCTAAATTTGTCTAATATGGAAGGCAAAAATGAACTGAAAAGTTTTACTTTAATCAGTAAAGGAAATTTATACTTGGAGGGTAGTGAACATTTTTTTTGTGATGAGGGCTGCGAATGCATGAAAAATAAGAGACTAGAGGTCCCTATCAGAAAGGCTGCACAGCCAATTAAAGACCTGTGAAGGTCCCATTGACATAATCACGTTCAATCACCAAAACCCCATCATTAGGTTCCACAATCCACAAAATACAATCCAAATACAAAAACCTTTATATAAGTGTATACGTGGGCAGTTTTGTCTTAACTTCTAAAACCTGGCCTGCGTTGGTTTACTTTAAGAAAGCTTTTTATATACAAAAAAAAATTAAGATTTTATATGTATATACTTTACAAATGATACCTTTCCATTGGGAGTACATTTAAAATATATTTTACAATGTACCATAAATATAAAATCTTTATTTTTTAATGGTATATGTAAAACAACTCAAATAAATTCAGTACAAAATATACCATTATACATATTATTTTTTTTATTGAATACGTTCTGTTTTTATTTATAATAAAATAAATTAAGATTTTATATTTATGGTACTTAATGATAGCTTACCATAGGAAGTACATTTAAAGTATCATTTACAAAGTACCATAAATACAAAATCTTATTTTTTTTTATTGTATATATAAACACAAATTAACATTCAATAAACATTATATAATTATATAAAACAAAAAAAATTTAATGTATTTTGTGTTTTTATATACAATAAAATAAATTAAGATTTTATATTTATGGTATTTTATAAATAATACCTCATCGTTGAAAGTACATTTAAAATATAATTTAGAAAGTACCATAAATATAAAATGTTCATTTAATTTTATTTTATATAAAAACACAAATATATATTCAATAAAATTATATAATTATATATGTATATATTATATATATTTTTTAATGTATTTTGTGTTTATATATACAATAAAATAAATTAAGATTTTATATTTATGGCATTTTATAAATTAAACCTTACAGTTGAAAGTTCATTTAAAGTATAATTTAGAAAGTACCAAAAATATAAAACATTCATTTATTTTATACTGTATATAAAACACAAATGTGCATTCAATAAAAAATATATATATATGTACTATAATTTTATTGAATGAATATTTGTGTTTTTTATATAAAATAAATTGTCATTTTATATTTATGTTACTTTGTAAATGATAGTTTACCATTAGAAGTACATTCAAGGTATAATTTACAAAGTACCATAAATATAAAATGTTACGTTATCTTAACATGTAAACAAAACAAAAATATGCCTTAAATAAAAATTATTTAATTCTATATACTGTACATTATGCATTTTTAATGTATTTTGTGTTTTTATATACAATAAAATAAGATTTTATATTTATGATACTTAGTGAATTTTATTCTACCATTTGAAGTACATTTAAAGTCCCGTATGTTATCCCCCCCCACCACCCCCACCCTTATTGTGGAGATATTATATAAAAAAAAGCGCCTTATGTAGCAATATTACTAAATGCCTTAGGGTACCTGCATTATGCTAGTAATAGATGTAATGATAAGTGATTGATTGATCACAGATTTGATTTTGAAATTGGCAATTTAATTTCTTTCGAAAAAGATTGTTCCATGCAAAAGCAGCCAATCTGATCAAACTTCCTGCAAGGAGCAATTCCTTATTCCTTGTCCCTTAGCAATGAAAGGGATCATTCATTGATTACACCACCCAACTTCTTAAACATACATTTCTTTCATTGAAGTCACCATTTTGTGGAATGGTTTGTCCATCGTTAGCCTTCAAATGAATCCCTTGTGTCCCTGGGACGTCCTTTGGATCCAGTGTCATGGATGTACATTGGCATTTGGATTTATGTGAAGCTGAGATAAAGTTTGATGCTAAACTCTACCCAATGTCATAGCAGCCTATTCCTTTCAGCCAATCAGCTTTCAGCCAGCTCTTATTAGGAGATAGTTCCTTTGACTGTTTGCTGTTTTTGCACCTTTTTTTCTTCCAGGCATTGCAGAGTTTTTCCCAGATATGTAGAACCCAAACTTGTGAGAGGGGTCCTTTGGGGCTGGAGCAGGGCCCATAGCACACACAAGGATTCTGCATGGTTCTGCAGGAGACACAGACAGTGATTGTGATATAGATTGCATTACAAGTGACCAGCAGCCCTGTGAGTTCCCTGTGTGACATACAAAATTGCAATGACTGCCATTTTATTCTCTAGGGCCACTGCTAAATATAAAATAATAAATAATAATAAAATATATCAAATCTTTGGGGGTTCTAAATAATTTTCTAGCAAACAAAAACAGATTTTTATACGTAGGAGAGAAGTTTTTAGAACAGGCCAGAAGCTTAAGTTGTTTCTTCCCACCCCTATGATTTGGAAATGAGGAGAAGGAGACATGTTTTGCTCAGTAGTGCAGGATTCTTTCCTGTAATGAAATTGTTTGCTCTGATTTCACTGCACACTGTGAGCTTCTCACAGTGTGCGTTAGTAGCTGCAGAAAGTCAAGTTGAGCCCACCTTGTTTCCCGGCTGAAGGACAGCTAGCAGCCTCATCTAGCCTTTTCCTCCACAGTGTTAAGTCCCCTGCATGCCCTTTTCATTCCCATTGAGTTCTTTAATTATGAAGTCTCAGCATCACATGTGGGCAGGGGCGGACTGACCATTGGAAACTTGGGCACTGCCCGAGTGCCCGGGGTCAGTAGGAGGCCCCATGAGATGCCCCTGGTACCTTTTTCATTGGCTTTTTTGAGTTTGGGCAAGGACACAAGGGCCCCATGATCCCCTATTGCCCGGGGGCCCCATGATTTGTCAGTCCGCCCCTGCATGTGGGCATTACCGAAGGTAGGCTGCATGCAAATGCAGCCTGCCTAGGGACACCCACCCCTCCAGACTGACACCCATCCATCAAGACATTTTTATATCTGCATAACTCCTCCAAAGAGCCAGCCCACAGCTTGCATCAGGGTTGACAGGGCACTGTGATGTCTTCAGGAAGCTATGTACAGCACCCTGCCAGCATCTCCAACAAGCCATGATCAGTCTGCATTTCATAGAGAATCACAGAGCTCCAGTGATGATGTCACTGAGTCCAAAATAAGGTACGTCATGAAAATGAAAAGATTGATGAAGATGGGGGGACAAATCAGGCAAAATGAAAGCAGCTCAGATTCAATGGTGCTTTACAGACAAAAGTATTGACATTCTGTAAGGCCAGGTGCACACTGATGCGGTGCAAATCTGATGCGATTTCACAAAGAGATTTCTGTTGTGACAGGTGCAATTCTAATGCAAATGAATGCGATTTCTGAGGGGATTTGGCATAGCTGGAGATAAAATCTTCACCAAACCTGAGCTAAACTCAGACAGGACCCTTTATTTAAGTCAATTGTTTTCATTGAAAAAAAGTTTTGAGTAGTACAAATGTTATATTCTAAACACTCCAGAGCTCAAACCAGGGTACTGCAAACATAATGCTTCCTCGGGTGCAGCCCTCCAGGAATCGGAACAATTCCAGTCCAGAGAACTGTAAAAACACATATAAGAGAGTGCAGACAGTAATGCACAAGGAGTCTGCACCCTCTTGTATGTGTTTTTATAGTACAAATGTTAGGATATAATAATATTCGCAATACTATAATCAGAGGAAGAAAGAACATATAAAGGACACACAAGTATTATTTATTTATTACAGGTACTTACATAGTGCTGCCAATTTACGCAGCGCTTTACATATATATTATGCATTCACATCAGTCCCTAACCCTCAAGGAGTGTACAATCTAAGATCCCTAACAAACATTCATACATACTTGGGCTGATTTAGACAGGAACCAATTAACCACTTCCATTCCGGACACTTTTACCTCCTTCCTGTCCAGGCCAATTTTCAGCTTTCAGTGCTATCACACTTTGAATGACAATTGCGCAGTCATGCAACACTGCACCCATATGAATTTTTTAGCATTTTTTTGAGACAGATACAATTTTAATTTGGTGTTATTTATTCACCACTGGGATTTTTATTTTTTTTTTGCTATATAAATAAAAAAGTCCAAACATTTTGTAAAAAACTGTGTTTCTTATGCAATTTTGCAAATAAATAATCTTTCTTCATAAATATTAGCCGCAATTTTAGTAAAAAAAAATAACCCAAATTAGTTTATAACCAAAAATTATAATATTTCTAAATTTTTTTTACATTTGTATTTTATTTTTTTATATTATTATTTATGTTTTTTTTTTTTTTAACATACTGTCACCTTAGCAGTACAGTGTCACCATAGTGACACTGTATTGCTAGTGGGGGGTGATGAAGATTTTTTTATTTTTTTGCACTGATTGCTTTTACACCCATAAAGGCTGTAAAATCAATCATTTCTCCTTCTCTCTGACTGCATTCTTGCAGCCATTGAGCAATAATGTGACAGCTGACAGTCACATGGTACAAAGCTGTTGTGAATAACCTTGTACCATGTGACCTCAGTGATCATTCACAGATTTCACACATAGTAACAGGGGCGGAATGACAACTCATGGGGCCCCTGGGCAATAGGGATCATGGGGCCCCTGTGTCCTTGCCCAAACTAAAAACAGCCTATGAAAAGTACCAGGGGCATCTCATGGGGCCCCCTACTGACCCCGGGCCCTTGGGCAGTGCCCGAGTTTCTAAATGGTCAGTCCGCCCCTGCGTAGTAAGCAATGATGTCAGCAAGTGACATCTTACTTACTACTATTCATGTGATCACTGATTGGCCAATCGGTGATCACATGATCAGGACCTCACACAGAGGTCCTGTACAGTGATCAGTGTTCTGCTCTGTCTGGAGGACACAGTGGGCATTGGATTGTGGTGCTGTGTGCTCCCAGTTTATAAACCGCAACCTGCTCCTGCACAGCTGTATATGTACATGGGTTGGATGGGAAGTGGTTAACCTACCAGCATGTCTTTTGAGTGTGGGAGGAAACTGGAGTACTTGGAGGAAGCCCATGGAGGCACAGGGAGAGCATGCAAACTCCAGACAGGTGGTGCCAAGGTTTGGATTTGAACCTTTAACTCTAGTGCTGCCAGGTTGAAGTGCTAACCATTTAGTCACTGTGCTGCTGCATATAGGAAGCTGTCAAGGACCCTATTTTAAACAGATCAGAATTGCAGTGCATAGATGTGAACGGCCTTCCATGAAAACAATGTGCCTTCTGATGACATGTGAATCTATTCTCTGACTATCTGAAATGATGGAAAAGTAAATATAATGTCCCATACTTGTAGATGTAAAAATTGTCACTTCTTGTAAGTTTAAGCAAAAGCAGCATTCCTTTTTAATGAAGAAAGGATAACACTTCTAATAATATAACAGTCATGCACCCCAATTCATGCCGGCTGTGAAATCTTGTATGTTAGATAACTAGCGCTGTAAAAGATCATAAGTGTACAGGGGATTTCTGTCCATTTAAAAATAAACTGAAGTCTAGTTTGGGTCTGTGCACCCCTCTGTGAGCTGACACCTTCTGAGGTTTTTGAGTGACAGCTCCACTTCATAGACTAAACCAGTCTCTGACACCTAGCCCAGCGGGGGTCAGAGCATTACTGGGCCTGCAGGACGCCCCCCTGCCGAGTGGTCCTGGTTTGTAGCTTCCCAGCTTTATGTGACCATGAGCGTGCTGAGCACAAGATAACCCGTATCAGGATATAATAGTACAGCTACATGTTGAGTGAGATTTGGTTGTAATTGAAGTGGCAGGGAACGTCACTATTGATATAGCAGATTTTTACACTGCAGTACGTCTAATAGAAATAGTGCGAAGAATGCCCAGGATGATGCACATTTGGTTTTTCATTCATTGACATGCTATGATTAAATACAGTATATTTTAATCATTACTAATAATTGCAATAACATGAACAAATTATAAAATCAAACTCTTAAAAGGGTATTAAATCCCAAATCATGTATGTAATATATTGCAGTTTACCAATTCTTAGATGTAGAGGCTGAAATAGTTTTTCTTTTTTTAGGCTTTTTTTTTTCCCGTCAGTTTTCACCTGCTGATCTGGCCAGTAACACACTTCCAATATTAGTGTGCCAATACCATGGATGAAGGAGCAACAGAGACACCTTTGGACAGTAGCATTGTCAGTCTGGGAGGAGGGGAGTGTTAGATACACTAGCAGATTTAAATACACTATCAAACTGAAGCCAAACTCTAGCCAGCACTTTTTAATCAGTTACAGCAAACATTTTTTTCACTTTCAGATAAAGGTTTTACATAAATACATAACTAAATAAACAATGATCATTGTAAGCATCCCTGCCAGTGGTGGATGGTTTGTCTCAGCCATCTAACTGCTACACAGAGACACTGGGGTTGATTTACTAAAACTGGAGAGTGCAAAATCTGGTGCTCTGCATGGAAACCAATTAGCTTTCAGTTTTTTTTGTCAAAGCATAATTGAACAAGCTGAAGTTAGAAGCTGATTGGCTACCATGCACAGCTGCACCAGATTTTGCACTCTCTAGTTTTAATAAATCAACCTTGCAGTGCAGAACGAAGCATTGCAAGCAATTAATGAGGAAATAGCAGCTGCTGGGAGCCTACAGGCAATACTGGTAACTGGGTAACTGGTTAACTCGCCAACTGTCTGCAGAGTCAATAGCAAAAAACCTCCAAACTTCATGTGGCCTTCATATTAGCACAACAACAATGCATAGAGAGCTTCATGGAATGGGTTTCCATGGCCGAGCAGCTGCATCCAAGCCTTACATCACCAAGTGCAATGCAAAGCGTCAGATGCAGTGGTGTAAAGCATGCCACCAGGGGAGACGTGTTCTTTGGAGTGACGAATCACTCTTCTCTGTCTGGAAATCCAATGGACATGTCTGGGTTTGGCGGTTGCCAGGAGAACGATACTTGCCTGACTGCATTGTGCCAAGTGTAAAGTTTGGTGGAGGGGGATTATGGTGTGGGTTTGTTTTTCAGGGATTGGGCTTGGCCCCTTAGTTCCAGTGAAGGGAACTCTTAAGGCGTCAGCATACCAAGACATTTTGGACAATTTCATGCTCCCAACTTTGTGGGAACAGTTTGGGGGTGGCCCCTTCCTGTTCCAACATGACTGCGTACCAGTGCACAAAGTAAGGCCCATAAAGACATGAGGAGCGAGTTTGGGGTGAAGAAACTTGACTGGCCTGCACAGAGTCCTGACCACAACCCAATAGAACACCTTTGGGATGAATTAGAGCAGAGATTGCAAGCCAGGCCTTCTCATCCAACATCAGTGCCTGACCTCACAAATGATCCTCTGGAAGAATGGTCAAACATTCCCATAGACACACTCCTAAACCTTGTGGACAGCCTTCCCAGAAGAGTTGAAGCTGTTATAGCTGCAAAGGGTGGTCCAACTCAATATTGAGCCCTACGGACTACAGGCGTCCCAAAACTTTTGGCAATATAATATATACTATATATATATATATATATATACTGTATATAGGCATTGCATTTAAGAAGACATTACACTTTAAATGATTTGAACTCTGGAAGTTGTGCCCAAGATTAAAAAGTAAAGCAGAGGGCAAAGGACTAGTTACCAATATTGCCTGTAGGCTCCCAGCAGCTGTTCTTTCCCCATTAATGACTTACCATGCCTTGTTCTGCACTGCAAGGTTGATTTATTAAAACTGGAGAGTGCAAAAAAAGTCAAACGCCAATAAAACAGACATTTTTGAGCCCAAGTGTGCATATGGTCTTAAGGAGAAGGTCCAGTAGATTTTCAGAACATTAAAAGACAGCAGCTACAAAAACTGTAG